GTAAACACCTTATTTATTTATTTTTTTTCCTTTTTGTCTTTTTTTCGTGACCGGTAACGGGATGGCAACCCTCGGTGTCGCGCCTGCACCGCGCTCAGCCAGTGAGCAGACCGGTCTCTATATGGGATCCGAACCCTCGGCCGGAGTGCCGCCGTGCTCCCAAGCGCTGCACTCTGAGTGCGCCACCGGGCCAGCCCCAGTAAACACCTTATACCTACACCTGGATGCTACCTAATTTACTAGCCATTTATCCATCCTTCTAAGTGTATATTAACCCCTCTCACTTTTTGATGCATTTCAAAGTAAATTACAGATATCTGTCTACATCCCCCTAAGTACTTCAGCACACATATCACTAATGAGAGTTCAGCATTTGTATAGATTTTCTTTTTTGATGTAAAATTTACATATAATGAAAAATGCAAATTCTCAGTATACATTTGCTGAGTTTTAATGAATGTATATATCTCTGTAACCCAAACCTCTAATAAGATATAGATCATTGCCATTAGCCCAGCAAGTTCTGTTGTGCCTCTTTTTAGTTCACCCTTGGCCCTACACTTTCAAAGGTGACCACTATTTGCATATATGTCTGTGTGTGTGTGTGTGTGTGTGTGTGTGTGTTTGACATATAATGTATAAGGGATTTTGAATGTATTTTAAAGTCATGTGTTGAATATACTTTTTTAAGGAACAATAGAGAAAAGGTCTCTTTTTGATGTATGTGTGTGGGAAATTTGTTTGAGAGATGTGCCAACATAAAAATTTGTTTCCTTTTTTGGTCTGGATTTCGAAGTTACTACCATGGCGTACTTTTAATGTTTTTCCTCCCCTTAATTCCACAAGCACCCCTGCCATTTTGGAACAGAATTACATAGTTTGTGAGCTGCAGCAAAAAAATAAGTGTGCTATATTCCTTCTTGAGAAGCCATCTGAAAAGGAAGAGTATTGTATTTTTCTCCAGTTGCAAAGAGGTACTGACTATTTATTTTCTTTATGAA